CAACAAAGCCTTAAAATAGTTGTCTTCCCAGTTACAAAGCATGAAATAAAATTGGTGTTTATTGCGTAAAGTGTATTCAATCTGATATTTGCATTGCTGACCACTCTTGCTGACCATTCTGTGTCTGAATTGTTGTTGTAAAATTATTTCCGTAGCTTTCAAGAACTCCAAGTTTGAAAGACTATTGGATCAAGGATTTACTTCCTTCTAAATCCTCTGTTTTATTCATCCTTCATTCAGCAAAAGCTTTGCCAGGAAAAAAAAATGTGGACATCTGTTCTGTAGCACTATGTTGGTAGTAAAATTATTAACAGTCGCACCCTACCCTTGCCCCTTACCCCCTCCAGATGCAGCGTTGCAAATGGGCCGTCGAGCAAGTTATCTCTGGCCCTTGAATTCGGATTGCCAGTCGTTTCGGAAGTACTCTGGTGGGCTAAACTACCCATGCCCTTTACCCCAAACACTCCTCTCACTTCCTCTTGTTTTCCTGAACCACTCTCTTAAAGCGGTGTTCTGCCCATTACCCCAGGGGATAGGGAAACTGGACAGAAAGAAACATTCCCTGTCTACACCTCTCAATCTTGTTCTTGTCCACAGCTGTGAAATGGCTTACTTTGAAATAGTTTTGAGAACAAAACAGGCAAAAAAAAAAAAATTCTGTAGATTCTTACATGATACTGCTTTGATGTATGCAACTTGGAGTCAATATGAAATAAAGACCCTTTTTTTACTTCCTTAATACATACAGTATATTCCTGGTCTTATTATGAACAATTCATTAGTTAGCATTATTTGCTCTGAAATGTGCTATTGAAGTAAAATGGGTCATGAACAGTATTTCATGTTGACTTTAATTTTCAAAAAACATACATTGTTAATGGACTTTTTTTTTTTTTTTTTTTTTTTGCAAATGCGAAGTTTAATACTAATTGCTAATACGAAAGCGTTTGCATCTTAGGCCGTGTGTCCACCAAATCGATTTATAGCCAGCTGAAAATGCCAGACACTCTGCTGAAGACGCTGCACTCTTAGAAGAAACGGTTCTATTTAGAACCAGAAATGGTTCCATCCCTGGCTTCATATATGGAACTCCAAAATGGTTCTATATAGAACCATTTTTTTTTGGTAAAAGGTTCTATTGGCCAAGTATGGAACCCCAGGGTTCTATATAGAACCCAGAGGAACCTTGTTTTAAGAGTGTATAGAACCTTTTAGGGGTTCCAAATACGTAGCGCTGATAGAACCTTTTAAGGTTCTATATAGAATCTTTTAAGAGTGTGTGCTTTGGGCGCTTGAGCGTTTTATCAGTGCAACGTTTTTTCTGTTGAGACGCTTTGTTTCGTATGATACAGAATATCCGCAGCACAGTTTACTTGAAACTGATTTCGCAGATAATTTGTTTCATACTAAAAATGTATTTTTCATCAATTTTGTTCAGTTAGCTCAGCTGGTTGATGTCGTTGTACAGAAAGAATGTTGTGACAGTTGGTCAGAGTTGTTTAGTCCCGCCCCTCCTCCACTGTGATTGGACGGCTGGGTAAAAAGTGACCGTGATGAGCGCTGCGTTTTATCCAAAGTTGAACATTTTTCAACTCTCGGCGACCAGTTTAAAACGCTGGGCGCTTCAGCGTGAAAAAAACGCTCAGCGCCTCATTACGTTTATGGTGTTTAAAAAACACGGTGCTCCCATTGAAAACAATTGAAAACATAAGCCAGGTGAGTGGGAAAACGCTTTGGTGGACACACGGCCTTACAGTAACATTAGCCATTCATCACCTTAAGCAATTTCAACAGAAACAGGAAATGCAAAATGAAGAAGTTAATGAATGGTTGGTTAGGGTCCAAGCTTGTCTACAACTTCCCTTTTGTGTCTATTTCTAAGAAAAGCCATTTAACCTGTACAAACCTGTAAATTTTTCCTTCTTTGCACAAAGTTTCTTGCTTCACCTTCTCCAGCCTGCCACTCATCACCGTTATTTCAATGTCTGCATGCTCTGAATCGTTTCTCTGAGTGACTTTATTGTTATGTGCCCCTACAGCTCCCAGTATGATGTCACTCCGGCAACGCCACACTGACCCGCAGCTGGCCCTGGGTTCTCAGAGGTTGGTAGAGAGTTGTCTTGCACTTTGTGGGCAGGAAGGGGAGGGTAGCTCATACTTGTCCAGATCTAGGACAGCGTTACGCCAGGCGCACAGCCAACCTTTCGGGCAGTTTGACTCTCTGGGACTGCCTCCACTTTCCTCAGCCGTGTCTCATCCCTCTATCTACTCCGCCGCCTCATCCCACGGTCCCCACTCCTCTTCCGTCGCCAATGCCCCTCATGCATCCCACTATCACTCTTCATATTTCCAGCCCATGGATACCATCCCAGATCTCCCATATGATGCCAGCCCAGAGCGCCCACACCGTTGCGCCAGCTATGGGTATTGCTTCATTCTGTTGTGCTTGTTTTGTGATTTTTCACCTGGGACTTCCTCCAAATCACTCACCACTTACCTCACACTTTACATTTTGTGCTGAATCACTACTCGTTGGGTTTTTTGTTGTAATGGGCTTATACTCACTACAGTTCTTGACACTGCACCTTAGACCTTGCACCCTACCTGGCTGCTTAATCTGTTCTTACACTATTTGCACCTTATTTTGAACCGTTCTCACACATGCATGCCCTCTTCGCTTTTACTCCAGTCTTGGAAGGCCGGTGTCCTGCAGATTTTAAGTTCCAACCCAAACGAATCACAATTGTCTGTAAATTGCGAGTAGATCTGAACACTTACTGCAATAAGCTTGTGTTGGGTTAGGGTTGGAACTTAAAGGATTAGTTCACTTTTGAAAAAACTTTTGCTGATAATGTACTCACCCCCATGTCATCCAAGATGTCCATGTCTTTCTTTCCTCAGTCGAAAAGAAGTTAAGGTTTTTGATTAAAACATTTCAGGATTTTTCTCCATATAATGGACTTACATGGGAACCAAACGGTCCAAGGTGCAAACGACAGTTAATAACAGTTTCAGATGCAGCTTCAAATGTCTTTAAACGACACCAGACGATGAATAAGGGTCTTATCATGCGAAACGATCGGTTATTTCAAAACTTATTCCAAAAATGTAACTTTTCTAAGGACAAATGCTAGCCTTGCTCTATTTTGTGAGGCGCGTTTGCAACGTCACGTAATACGTAATTACGTTCAAAAGGTCACGGACGACGTAGCCGGAAGTACAGAATCAAAATCGTCCGACATCGTTGTTTTACCTTTTAATTCCTTTTTTGTAAACGGCGTTTGAGTTAGTTTGCACGTTCAACCTATGCGTTCAACTTGTAAACACTCTGACTCTGTACTTCTGGCTACGTCGCCCGTGACCTTTTGAACGTAATTACGTATTACGTGACGTTACAAATGGAGCAAGGCTAGCATTTGTCCTTAGAAAAGTTACATTTTTGGAATAAGTTTTGAAATAACCGATCGTTTCGCATAAGACCCTTATTCATCGTCTGGTGTCGTTTAAAGACATTTGAAACTGCATCTGAAACTGTTATTAACTGTCGAAAGACATGGACATCTTGGATGACATGGGGGTGAGTAAATTGTCAGCAAAAGTTTTTTCAAAAGTGAACTAATCCTTTAAGTCTGCTGGACACTGGTTTTCGAGGACTGGAGTTGGTTTAGCTCCAATATGCCACAACACACCTGCCTGGATCTTTCTACTAATCCTAAAAACCCTGATTATATTGTTGAGGTGTGCTGACTTCAGTACCTTGGCCCTCCTGGAGCAGAATTGGACACCCTTGATGTTAGGTGTCTCTATTTAAGTGGTGTCCAAACTTGTTCCTGGAGGACCACCTACCTGCAGGGTTTAGCTCTTGCCTACACCAATACATCTTGCTGGAAGTTTCCAGTTATCTGGAAGACCATAATTGGCTGTTTAATGCCTGGTTCAGATTACACGATTTTTTTTGTCTGTTACGATAGTCACTGTGTCAGATTATGGGATTTTGGCTCCTAAAATCTTGTCGTGTTGTGGACAAGACACATGTCAGACTACACGCTAATTCCTGACCAGTCATCGCATGCCGTGTTTAACGACGCGCGTGATGTCATCGAGAAGGCGAAACTCGTAGCGAATGACTTCCTGGATTGCTCGACATTGCCTTTTCAGCGTGAGAAATACACGGTGTGGTGTGTGAGTGTGTGAACTGGTTGAATTGCGTGTGTCTCACGGCCATTGCGTGAGACTTGAGAACCCTGCTCGAAGAGGACAGTGTGGGCTGTCAATCCTCCAAAGAGAACTTGAGGTAAAATATTGTTGTCTTATATATTTTTACTTCTAGTTTTAACGTTAGCACCATAGTCTCTCTTTCGTTTTGTCTTTTTTGAAAGTTGTATACGGAAAAGTTTCCGCTCCTATTGGTCAACCTCATATATGTGACGGAACCGTCGTGGACGACCGTTAAAAAAATGAAATATGCTAGTCTTTTTGTCGTGAAGTATCGCAGACGCGACGTAGGTGCGCGTGATGTCATCGCGAAGGCGAAACTCGTAGCGAGTGACTTCCTGGATTGCTCCCTCGCATGATGTCACCGAGAAGGCAAAACTCGTAGCGAGTGACTTCCTGGATTGCTCGACATTGCCTTTTCAGCGTGAGAAATACACGGTGTGGCGTGTGAGTGTGTGAACTGGTTGAATTGCGTGTGTCTCACGGCCATTGCGTGAGACTTGAGAACCCTGCTCGAAGAGAACAGTGTGGGCTGTCAATCCTCCAAAGAGAACTTGAGGTAAAATATTGTTTTCTTATATATTTTTACTTCTAGTTTTAACGTTAGCACCATCGTCTCTCTTTCGTTTTGTCTTTTTTGAAAGTTGTATACGGAAAAGCTTCTGTGCTCCTATTGGTCAACCTCATACATGTGACGGAACCGTCGTGGATGACCGTTAAAAAAATTAAATATGCTAGTCTTTCTGTCGTGATGTGATGTGAAGCATCGAGACGCGACGTAGGTTGTCGCCCACTATGACACACTATACGAGATCATACGATCGAATCTTGCGTCCCGACGCCCGTTGTCGTTTACGAATCCCCACGACACCTTACGTCAAATGGATCGTGCCAAAATCGGGCTAAAATCGTGTAATCTGAACCAGGCTTAAGGTGTGTCTACTTGGAGTTGCAGCTAAACTCTGGACACCCCTGCTCTTCTTTAGAGTCTTGGCATGTTGTGCTTCAGTTTGGACACCTTTTGTTGACTTGTTTGCCTGCTTAACTCTCTGAGGGTTTTACAACTCAAAGCTTTTGGACTGGTCTGATATCACTTTTCCCAATGCTAATTTCATCGTTTCCTTCACAGGGACTTGAATCGCTCCGACTCCGATTCCTCTTTGTGTATATCCCAGACCGGCGAACAGCTACGCTTGTCCTACAGTGCCAAAAACTTCCCTGTGAAGCCCACTTCACTCATCTATGGCCCCCACTCACGCTCTGAAGAGGGAGCCCAATCTCACAGCCACAATGGAGGCAACAGAGTCCATGATGGGGGCGTATCTCTCGACGGAGTTCCTGATAGCCCCATATTAATGAAGAAGGTGTATGGCATTGAGAAATCTGCCAGTATGAGTGAGATCCTTAGCTCTCAGGCGGTGATGTCCATGTCAGAATCCTCACGCTCCTTAAGCCCAAACTCCACTGAACCCGACACGCCGTCTCCCACTGGACTGATGGAGGTGAAGGCTGGAAACCGCATACCCCAGATCTCCCAGAAAAAGAGCCCCCCAGAAGAGGACAGCGGGTCTACAGGTGAAGACACTGACACTGTTGCCAGTCGCAAGAAACACACCTTCAAGATCTTCAAAAAACAGAAGAAATAAGACAACTGGAAAGCCGTTTCATTTTTCCATTGCATTTATTTTTGTCATATTGTTGATATAAATGTTTTGGTTTATTTCCCCCACCTTCAGGTCAGAAGTTACGGCACAACCAAACACCTTTCCAAGGTCTTTATTGTAATGTTTGCTTTTTCAGAGGAACACTTAGGAACAAGCATGATTTTGGGGGTGGGGGTGAAACACCAATGGAAACGGGGTGGACTATTTTTTTTGTGGAACGTTACTATTTATTCAGCAGGAGAAAGTGCCAGACTTTCAAAGGAATCTTCCCTCTAATGGAATTCTTTCCTCGTATAATCCATATCAGTTTGCATGTCTTCGCCTTTGTTTGATTGAACTTTGAATGCTCCTAGATGTTTGCTTGGTTCTTGTTCTCCTTTGCTTAAAAATGAAAAATAGCCTGATTATTTCATTTCAATAAGCACACTCCTTTGTCTTTCGAGTTGAAATGAATTGTCAGCTGAATGTTTAACGGTACTTCTTTGGTCAGTGTTTGTCGACGGTCAGAGAAACTGTAAAAGGGCTGAACTATCAGTGTGAAACTCCCCTCAAATATTTTGCACTATTTCTAAATGTTGATCTGTCGGTTTTGTAAAGAGAATTAAGAATATGCTGGAAAACGCACTAAAACGTTTACACAAATCAAGACATTGAACGTATCTCCAAGGCTTCAGGGATTTCTGGGACGTACAACAATTAAGCGATTCGATTATTTGATCTTTGTGGATCTTTCCAAATCATTTTGGCAAATACAAGGTGGCTTATGAATATGCACATTAATGCTTTTTGAGCTTTTCGAATCAACCTTGCCCTTGTCCGCAGACTGTTTCTGGTGGCATCATCCAAGATCTAAGCTCCCAAGAGATCAAGTCAAGAGATCTTGTTGTCTTGTATTCAAAGTGCCAAACTAAATCCGCCGTCCAGGATATGTATACACTTCCCGAAGGTCAGATTTCAGTTGCAATAACTGTTTTTGGACAGTCTTGGTGCATATTATCCAAATTGTGGTGGGATGGCGGGAGTTACTACTTCTGACATGTATGAGAGAGAGCTTGGATATGTTTTGTTCCTTTAAATAGGTCATAAAACTCCCCTGAATCTTTGATTTCGGGTGCTTTTATAACATTTTGAAGCAGGCTGGACCAAACGCAGTTGCTGTTATAATGCAGAGTGACTTGCCTTTAAACAGAGAGATGTTCAGGCTGATTTTACCACTGTGCATTTTCAGAGGAAGTGGAGACCACTCTCTGTTCTTGTGGTTTACATGATGTTCACTTTAAGATATCCCAGAGCACTGAAAATTACAAGCACACTTTCTGAAAAGAGAGGGGGGGAAAGAACAAAGAGACTTGGTGAGGGATGTCACTATGCATTTTATTCGTTTTTACCCACAGGCTTCGAAGGTCCAATGTATCCATTAACCTGGAGGCAAACCAAAGCAGTGCTGCACGAAACTTCTTCGGCATTTCTTTTGCGAAAGATGGTGATGGTGGTGACGCATTCTAATGTATATCAATGGGGATATAAAAACCATGCAGATGTATCCGTTTCATCTGTGCCTCTTTTGCACGAAGAAGCTCTTTTGTCAGTGTGTATGTCAGTGAGCGCGCGTCAGTCCGGTCCAGTAAACTGCACTTCACATGTTGATGCATGTTCTCAACATCAGTTCTCAAACATGGAGAGGGAGGAGACAGGAGCTGTTTTAAACTTTGTTCCTATTTAGATATCCCTGTTCACTTCTCCATTTGAGCTATTTATGCCTAGACTGTACAGAGAGAGGTGAAACGAAGTAAAAAGGATAATTTTGCATCTTCTGTAATGTTCAAAACTGTAGTCTTCAAATTTTATGGCACTCCTGCATGTAAGCAATAAAAAGTTTTTAAAATGAGTGAGATCTCCATTATTCATTTAATTTTATTCTCTCTATCTGTATCTTTGTTGAAACTTTGAATCATTTTCTTAAAGGAAACTTTCTTTGTTTACCCCAAAATGAAAATTGTCATTCACTCACCCTCATGTTGTTCCAAACCTGCATGAGTTTTTTTTGTCCTGTTGAACATAAAATATATTTTAAAGAATGTTGGTAACCAGACAGTTGCCGTTAGCCATTGACCTCCATAGTATCTTTTTTTTTTCCTACTATGAAAGTCAATGGGTGTTGTCAATGGTCTGAGTACTAGCAGCATTCATATCATATGTTGTGTTTGTAATGACATTTAATGACAAATGAGGGTAAGTAATGACATAATTTACATGTTTGGGTGAACTATCCCATTAATCCAGCATTATCTGAACATTTACATGTAAAATTATCTGTTGTCACATGAAAATAATACTTTATTTAGACACGTGTGTATAAACAGATGAAGAAGGGTGGGAAAACACTTAGTTTCCCAGAATGACATTATCTCCTGAAATTCTCTGAATTTGTTTTTAATATCACAACAGATGTTCACAACAGAAGAAAAACATACAATAAATTAAAAAAAAGATGTCCCATCAGTCCTTTTTTATCCACAGCATGGTAAATATTTTAGAAAAATGTTCACATTCAGGATTTTAAGTCTTTGACGTTGCTGGAAGTAGAAATAATAGCCAAATATTTACAAAAACAGAATAAATAGGGGCTTCATGGACAGACAAAAAAAAGCTAGAAAAGTAATTTATTAGAAAACACTATTAAAAACGTGTCAAAATTATTTCACTTTATATTGATTAAAAACTAAGAGATGTAGACAAACAAACAGATTTGTGTCCAAAAAGTAGCTACATGGCCTCACTCCCCAAAAAGATTCAAGGTGGAAGACGGATTCATCTATCACTCTTAACCCTAAAACCGTATTCTGGACAAATTTGGGCAAATTTTTGATTTATGTTTAAAAAAATACTTTCCTTGATCTGAGTGGTACAAGACTTGGCTACGTTATGAACACACAATTATTTTTTATTTTTTTTGACTCAATTCTACAATGTTAAGTGGGTGAAAAAAAAAGGTTTTAGCTCTAAGAACTTATTGGAATGATATATAAAAACAAAACATAAAAATAAGCATAATTTACATAGAAAATATGGCAGCCAACTTTTTGAAGTAAATAAAAATAAATAAATAAAAAACACCATTATGGATAGACAAAATAACTTTAATTATCGAAGACATATAACATTTATAATAAATAAAAATTATGATCTGAGTCCTCTGTGCCCACATTTGTCCAAAATTACAGGATTAAGGACTATAAAGCCAATACGGTTTGAGGATTAGGCTAAGTAGCCTAAAATCCACTTCCGGTAGGGTGTGGTCAATTTAATTAAAATAACTCTGTAATTAAAACTAAAAGGAGCTAATTCTGAAATTTGCAACATTCGTGAGCATGTCTGCATAGGTCACAGTCATAGCATCATTTTAAGATTGCACTGGAAGTTTATCCTAGGTCTACAGTACATTCTAATTCGAATTACAGGCAGGAATCAGCGCTTATTACGATAATTATTCATGAGTAGGCTAGCCTACGCTAGATATGCATTAAATAGAGAGTGTACTGTTCCTTCTGTTTGCTTAAACTCACCTGAAGCTCAAACAGGATGTTATCCCGGGATACCTGCTTGTGATATCCTGCACTGCATCGGTTATGCTCGGGGACATGAAAACCAGCCAAACATCGCAATACGAGCGTCTGTGTGTTCATTTTAATTAAGTTATTTCGTTTAATCCAAATCTTCTGATAGCTGCTGTTTTTTTATTATTCATTTTCATTTTTTTTAGACGAATATGGGAGATTTGAGTTTTGTTTGGTTGTGTTTACATGTCATTGTTTCTGTAAGTATCCCACTGTGGGCTATTTCAAATGTAAAGTAGGGTAGACCAATAGTTTACATCCATAATTAATTGTGTTTTGTTTGTTTATAACCAGATGCCTTTAACTGTCTGTCTGAGCCGATCCAGCACAGGTATTGTGGCTTTCCTCGACGCACCTGACGCGCCGGTCTCCAGTGTTCCTTTACACGTTCAGTACACCTGTCACGAGTCATCCGAAGTGCACGTTCAGGTTCTGGTTTCGTTCGATTCTGGATCTACCTCAGTTGTTTTTCACAAATACTGGACCTGCGAGCCCGGTCGTGGCAGAACCCGAGTGGTGCTCGTGAGTTTTCCTGACTGGCTTGTGTACCGGCCCGATTGGATAACACGCAGTTCTGAATGGGTTCTCAGCTGTTTATTGCGAGGTTGGATCGGCCCTGATGAATCCACCGGACCGGGTAGGCTTTTTAGAGCCAGTGTCACGGTCCCCCTCGATGTTCACTCACCACTGAGTCGACCCTTCAAACAACACCTGCTTTGTGCCAGCTGGGACACAGATCTGCTCTGGAGAGTCAGGCGAGATGGCATGCCACAGTGCGCGGAACAAAATGGTATTATATTATATTATACTACCATTGGACATGTAACGTTACCTGGAAATCCTGTATCATTGTGCACAGATGACCCAAATAGTATTTGAACACTTAAGCAACAATAAATGCATAAATGGCACAGTAATATTTTTAGTGTTCATATTTGCAAGCCTAATCATTAAAAGTGTTGTGTTAATGTATCTTATGTTTTCAAACTTCTTTCTTTTCCTTTAAGAGGTGACGTCTCTTCTTTCCACATTGTATGCCTCTACTGGTGAGCGTTATGGCATCACCAAAACCCTCGAGCCATTCAGAAATGAAGTTTTGGAAAGCCTGAGAATCAAATCTATCCATTACCCCTGGTGAGAGCTTGTGAATTTCTACTTTTTTGCCGACCAGGCTTACGTTTAGTGATTTAATACACAGAATAACTGAGTTATTGTTGATTCCGACTCTTCAGGTGTGCCATATCTTTCTGGGTTTTGGTGACAAGTCCTTGCAGTGACCGTTTATGTGGACTTCTGCATCACATTGATGTGAAAAACAGTTATGCCACCCCTACCTTGTTCCTCACTGACACTGGTAAGGCTGTGATCGTCTCAGACCACTCTCACTCATTTCTAGAGTTGATCACTTACAGAATTGTCCGCTTCGTTCAGGTAAGGTTCACATCCAGGTGCATGGAGATGCAGGGCGCTCATCGGCGTTCCTTTCATCGTTTAAGGTTCCTCTTCATCAGTGGTGTCGTATCAACCTAGAGATTCTGGGACGAATGGTGAGCTTGTGATTGGATGCGTGTGTATAATAAAATGTGTGATGAGTACAAAGTACTGAATGATCTTAAAGGAGTAGTTCACTTTTAAAAAAACTTTTGCTGATAATTTACTCACCCCCATGTCATCCAAGATGTCCATGTCTTTCTTTCTTCAGTCGAAAAGAAATGAAGGTTTTTGATGAAAACATTCCATCATTTTTCTCCATATAATGCACTTCAATGGGAACCAAACGGTTCAAGGTCCAAAAGACAGTTTCAGTGCAAACTGCAAACTGTTCAAAGGGCTTTAAACGATTCCAGACGATGAATAAGGGTCTTATCAAGCGAAATGATCGCTCATTTCATTGCTCTGTACTGTGATTCACGTTCATGACTCTCCTGTTCGAACTCGTTCATCAAAATGAACGAACCTTTTTCCGAGTCAATTCGTTCATTTCGTTCGTTGAATGAACCAAACGACTCGGAAAAAGATGAGTTCATTTTAATGGACTAGTTCGAACAGAGTCACAAACGTGCATCGCAGTACAGAGCAAGGCGAGCATTTGTGCTTATAAAACTTAAACTTTGTTATTTATCTATTAAATGAGCGATCGTTTCGCTTGATAAGACCTTTAGTCATCGTCTGGAATCGTTTAAAGCCCTTTGAACAGTTTGCAGTTTGCACTGAAACTGTCTTTTGGACCTTGAACCGTTTGTTTGGTTCCCATTGAAGTCCATTATATGGAGAAAAATCCTGGAATGTTTTCATCAAAAACCTTAATTTCTTTTTGACTGAATAAAGAAAGACATGGACATCTTGGATGACATGGGAGTGAGTAAATTATCAGCAATTTTTTTTTTTTTTTTTTTTTTAATAACATTTGTAAACCTCTCTACTGTTTTTGGCTCACTATTCTAGAGTAAAATGCTCCTGTTCTTTCATATTTGAAACTCATCATCATATGTTTCTTCTCCTGTAGGCAAAAGTTTCGATTGCATGTACTAACGGACAGCAAAAAAACAATATGAAAGCTGATGAGCACATGTAAGATTCTTCATTTAAAGCAGTAATATTGAAGTTTCAGAGTCAATGCTATAAGAAAGATTTGGTGTTTTGTGCAGATTTGGCATGAACATCATGTTGGATGACACGCATGGCTATTTTGTGATTGGTGGAGGTAAATTCATACAGGGAATTGAAGGATATTACGGACCGACTACATTCTATCGCTTACAGGGGCTCCCAGCTGACCAGGTAGAATATCATATTTTCATGTTTTTATATTATATACAAGATTATATCCAAAGTGACTTGCATTGCATTCATAGTATACAATTTTAACATTTGGTGTTGAACGCAGGAGTTTGGCATTGCTCTAGCAAAATTTTGAGTATAGCTATAATGTGTTATTCCCCTGAACTAAGCATGATATTTTACATCTTCACAGGCTGAGATTCACCTTCCTCATGTAATATCAAAGGTTAATATCACTGGATGGTTTCAGTCTTGTGAAAATTTCAAATCAGAGCTTTTCCTCTCTGTGCCAAGTCACTCGCTCCCTTTAAAGAGACTGTCAGGTAAGTACCACAGATGTCCACTAGCCAGCGCTAGAGATCAAAATATTCTATTTTTGTCATTGTCTACAATTATGTATTTTTTCACATCCAGACAGCTGTTTGGACGCATACACAGAACTGCTGCTGAATCATTGTACAGTAAACTCAACAGAGCAATGCATGCTCTTTGAATCTCAGACAAATCCTTACAGACGCCAAGTTGCACAGTTGACCAAACTACTGTCACAGAAATATGGTAAGATTATATCGAAACAATTAGGTGTTCGTATTATATACACTACCATTCAAAAGTTTAGGGTTGGTAAGAGTTTTTATTTTTTCTAGAAATACTAAAGAATGCATTAAATCAATCAAAACTGAAGATGTATAATGCTACAAAATATTTCGATTTCTATTAGACTCAAAAATATCCAGCTGCATGTTTTAAACATTGATAAATAATAAGAAGCGATTTCTAAAGGATCACTTGGCAATAAATCTCAGTCTGATTCTGATCTTCCTAACGTGCCTGTCTGTGCAAATGTATGCTTTCATTGTAGGCAGGGTGAATGCTACAGCAGTGGGACGGATGTTGTACGCTCTAGTCCTCCGTAAATTCAGTACAGCTCACAGTGTGGAGGTTATAAGCAGGATGATGCCTTTCCTGCTGCAGTCTGGCTGCTTGGGAGACTATAGAGCGCTGCATCTGTCCTCGGTGCTCTACAGCAGTGGAATCGGAGTCAAGAGACAGCCGTACAAGGTGTGTTTTTCGGGGTAATGTGGTGATGAGGTCACTCTGGCATTGTTCTTGCGTGTGTAATTGTAATATGATCTTCTATAGACCATTTCACAACACTGGTCCAGAAGCACTTCCTGTTTCAGTTTTTTAACACTATATAAAAGCTGGGATAAAATACAACCAACAGAACATTTAAAACTGAATCAAAAAGTTAAACAAACATCTTTAAGATGTTTTCTTTACATGTGAAATAAAGAAAACAGTTACAAACTGAAACAGGAAGTGTTTCTGGACCAGTGTTGTTTACATCTTGTGAAATGGTCTATAGCTGAACAATGTAGCTGTATTATACAACAAAATGAATGGGAATTAGCTTGTTAAGATGTAACCTGATTTGTGGCACCGCAGGCTTGGCTGTTGTCCCTGTTGGCAGCTCAGAAGGACTGGAGATTGGCACTTCTGCGTTTGGGGCACATGCACCATGTTGGTGACCTGGAGACGACCCCTGACCGTGACCTTTCCTATGCTTATTACATTAATATTGCGAGACAAACCAGCATTGATCAGAAGAAACCCACCCCACAGCAAGTAAGAGGCTTTTTTTTTTTGCTTTTGCTTATAAAGGCCAGTTACAAACTTGTATCTATAACAAGTCCCAAAGTCCCAGCCGCTAGGGACTTGATGGTAAAAATACATTTAAAAAATGATGGGATTAAAATATATTTTAATGCGTTTGCATTCTTTTGCAAAACACTTGCATTCCCTGAGAGATTCTGTTGTGTTGCGGAACTTGAGAGAACAGAAAGTTTCTCGGTGGAACGGAAATTGTTTTGTGTGAAAAGTGAAAACGCAAATGATTTGCGAGAGAACACAATGTCTCTCGGTGGAACACAATACTTTTGCGAGAGAATGCAGTGTTTCTTGCGGATAATGGAAATTGTTTTGCGAGAGAATGCAATGTCTCAGTGGAACGCAAAAGTTCCTCAAGAGAACGCAATGAGAATAATGGCGCGTTTCATTGGCACAGTACCAGCTCGACCCGACTCGGCTCACCTTTTTTTTGGTTTTCCATTGGAGTTGTAGCCTGGTTCAACCAGACTCTAGTACATTTCATTTGTACATAGAGTCTGGCCTCCCTCAATTGAGAAACGTTTCCTTCCTTGTAGGCGGGTTCACTATTAAAGTTCAAATCTATTGGATCTGCCCAGAGTCACTCACGATCTGCCATAGCCAATCGCTAATGTGTGGTCGTGAGTGACGTAATGTCATGCGCCGAAACGGCTGGAAACAACCATAGACAGTAAAAGAAACGACAAGTCCGAACTCCGAATGATCAGAGGATTAAATTTACAATAGGATTTCAGTCAACGAGAGCTGCAGGTTTTGTTAATCTAGGAACAATTATTAATTCGAAATGTATATTTGACATGAAGGACAGTGATTATTCAGTCAATGGTCGAAGCTGTGTCTAATCATTACAAATACGCCGCTGTGGTCGTTTTCTGAATGAATGATCAGTCTGTCTGCAGATGTGTAATAAACAACAATTTTTCATATTACGTTTTTTTTTTCTTAATTACCTTAATTATGGTCTTCAAAGTATGTGTTTGTACATTTTTATATGGCATTTAGTTGTTTTTTTTTTATTAAAACAAATTAACCATTGACATCTAAAACTGAAAATCAAATATAGTCTCCAAAGTATGGGTTTTCAAATTTTTATTTATGATTTTTTTTTTTTTTTTTTTTTAATCACAACCAATTTGTATGATTTACATGTAAAACTGACACACCAACCTCCTGCACGAGTGCACAAAGGGGCTCAAAATGTTCATCACAAGAATCAGTAAATTTACTGTTGGGAATCTGAGCGACTGACATGACTCCTGAGCGGATCTTCAACAATAGTTTCGGGGCTTCCGAACACCGCGAACACCAGGCTAAAGTCCAAAATGTCACGGTCATTGTGCACGAGCTGCCCAGCACAAACTTCCAACCTTTCTGCCTCCTTCACTTGGTCCTCCGTTGTGCAACAAGAGGTGAGACGACAACAATCCGGCTTTAAATTCTGTATATTCGGCAGTTTCTTTACCAACAACGGACCGACTGGCTTTTCTCACGTCTTTCTCCGCTGCCATTACTGCACTCAAACTGACGCACTACATCAAAGGCATCTTTCTCAGCCACCCCCTCTATTCGCTGATTGGTCCTACAAAAAATTGATTTCTGGAAACCTAAGGATATGGAGCAGTCCCAGACGTAGTACTGAAGTAAAATGAAATTGAGCGGAAGTGCGTAGGAGGGCGCAGCCAGGCTATTGGAGTTGTACCTGTATATGTATATCCAATATTCCACACTTTTGTTTTTTTTAGGCTAATTATGTGTATCATTTCTTTTTTGAATGTGATCGTCTCAGACTATTCACACAGCAAAACGGGATAGAATTGTGCACAAGTACGCAAATTGGGACACATCTAATATTTTTCAGTTGAATGCAATACTTTTCAAAGAGAATGCAATATTTCTTGGAAAAGTGCAATACCTTTTGTGAGAGAACCATAACAACATAGTTTTCTTTTCTTTTTTTAAACACCATGTCAAAATTAAGGGTTCTTTATCAAAATTGAATTTAACAAATAAAAATAAGGCTGTGAGGTACAACAAAACATTGAAAATGTCTTGTATAAAGACATTGAACTGAATGGATGTGCTCAATTTCATTGCCATTACATTTTAAAATTACATCTTCTGTAATACCTTTTGTAAAGGGTTAGTTAACCCAAAGATACAAAATCTGTCATAAATTCATAAAATTGAGGTTAATCCATTGGAGTCACATGGATTACTTTTACAATGTCTTTACTACCTTTCTGGGCCTTGAAATTGTCAATGGAGGTACAGAAAGATCTCAGATTTCATTGAAAGTATTTTAATGCGTGTCCGAAGATGAACAAAGGTCTTACAGATTTGGAACGAAATTATGGTAAGTTATTAATGACAGAGTTTAGATTTTTGTGTGAACTAACCCTTTAAGGTCATTAATATTAAAATCCAATTACACTTTGAAGTGTTCCCAAAAAATCCTTGGTTGATGTGTTGCATCTAAATAACATTTCATCTTCTCTGTAGACTTTTGTTGAGTTGATCCGTTTAAATGATGAAGAGACCCTGAGGGCCCAAACCAATGAAAACGACGATCTATTTCACTGGCTAAAGCTGCAGGCGCGAAGTGGAGTGGCCGAGGCTGAGGTACTACCATTCACATCCAACAATAGAAGATGGTGTTCCACTGTACTGTGTGTCAATGTACTACATCCTTGCTGAAAAGGTTTGTTCGTTTTCTTCTTCAGCAAGCAATGGGTCGTATGTTATTCTGGGGTCAGCAAGGTGTGTCTCCAGACATTCAGACAGCAGTGAAGCACTATGAAAGAGGAGCCATCAAACTCAACGACCCCGTGTCCATGTACGACTACGCCATTGTGCTCCTCACGGTCGGTGGCCTTTATATCTTTGTTATTTTTGATCTTTATCATATATGTTTCATAATGTGATGGTTCATAAAGAATATCTGATTTGGCCAGCAGAGGGCAGTCTTGCAAAACATTTAAGGTGAATACAGCTGAAGAGAAAACTAAACCAGGTGTACTAAATATCATATTTTCTTGCATTAACAGGGTCAAGGAGTTCCAAAAGATGTTCAGAAAGCTGTTAAATTCCTGAAGAAGGCAATAGAACAGGTATGTCTTGCCTGTGTCGTACATCTAAATTTGTTTAGACTGGGGCTTGTTGCATAAACTTTGTTACTATGTTAAAGTTATAGTTCACTTTGAAATTAATTTTTGGTATGTTTTAGCTTACCTCAAGGGCATCCAAGATGTAGGTGTCTTTGTTTCCGCAGTATTTTCAATTTTGATATTTTTAGGTCAAACCGTTTGTGTCTATCAGTCATATAATGCAGGTCTATGGTCACCACCTCAAAGAGCATACACAGAGAAGTCCAAATTTAACATGATGGCCTAAGACACAAAACAAGCTTTTTGTGTGAGAAAACGAACAGTATTTATAACGTTTTTACCTCATGTAACGGTTACATGAGGTAAAAACGTTATAAATACTGTTCGTTTTCTCACACAAACCGCTCGTTTCGTGTCTTAGGCCATCAATGTGTACTTACATTTACGAGTTATTAAATCATGTTTAATTTGGACTTCTCTGTGCATGCTCTTTGAGGTGGTGACCATAGACCTCCATTATATGACTGACTGACAAACGGTTTGACCTAAAAAAATCAAAATTGAAACTACTGCGGAAACAAAGACACCTACATCTTAGATGCCCTTGAGGTAAGCTAAAACATATCAAAAATTAATTTTAAAGTGAACTATCCCTTTAAGACTCCGTCTTAAGAACAGTTTGACCAACTGGCAGTTAGTTGAGAGATAATCAGCCTTACTTTTCCAATTCAAATTAGATCAATTTACCTTTTAATTGTCATGTCTTGAACTATTTTAGCTTTAAAAAAATAAACAGTTTGACTATTTTATGCACACTGTTTATTATTATGTATTTATCTCGTTTTTACCGATATATTGACTATGTCACTCAATAAGTGATTTGCCATCCCGCAGGGGTCTGTTCCCGCTCTCACAGCTCTGGGCTGGTACTTTGAGCAGTACGAGAAGGATTATGAGAAGGCTGTACATCTGTGGGAACAAGCTGATGCCAAAGGTCACCCCGATGCTGCCATGAATCTGGGAGTTTTCCACTCTCAGGGCCTTTATCCCGGAGAACCCGCCGACCAGGTGAATACCCACACGCCGACCTATTATATTAATCACATAAAGACTTGTGATATTGAATTCCTCTAACTATGATTGTGCCTTTTCATCAGTTTAAGGCATACAAGTACTACTTGAAGTCAGCCCAGAGAGGACTCCTAAGCGGTGGCATTGAATTGGCTGACATTTGGATTCATGGGATCCCCGGCCAAGTCGTTCGCCGCCCAGCAGACGCTGTTCTGTATGAAACTCAAAATAATATTATATAACATTTTTATTGTAGATATAGACCCAAGCTTAATCAACCATTCATGTAACTCAACATAATTGGCTGAGTGTGCACGTGTCAATTGCCATGATGCCTCTTCTACCCATAATCCCATAGTGGTATTCTTTCTTAGTAATACTAGTTGACATTTTGTCTTTGCATTTGAATTTAACTCGATTTACGTCATTGAATCGTTATTTTCCCGTTGATCACTGTAAAGCTGCTTTGAAACGATCTGTATTGTGTTAAGCGCTGTAAGGGTTTACAGGATTTTTTTTTTTCTCTCTTCGGACTTTTAGTTGGGTTAAATGGGCATCTGAACAGAATGGATATCTGGGAACAGTCTTGAGGAACGGGCTGAATGCCTATTTCAAAGGAGACTGGTAAACCTTTTTGTTTGAGTGCAGATATTAATGTATAATTATCATAATATTACATTACAATAAGAGAATCCTTTTAGATTGATTTTACATTAGAAAAGGATGTTGCAAAGGCCACTTTCTATTGTACTCTCTCTCTCTCTCTCTCGCAGGATCATTTCTTTGATTTATTACCTCAGTGCGGCAGAGAGTGGATTCGAAGCTGCTCAGTTTAATGTGGCGTACCTTTGTGAACTCAACTCAGTGAGTCCATTCTAAACACTTGCTTTAGATTCAGATGAACATTTTCCCTCGATTGGCTTTGATAGATGTTTTCTATCTTTTATAGGGCTCTTTGGATCCTGCACTGGTGACTCACTGCATGTTGAGATATTACAACATGTCGATACAGAATCAAGTTCCAGCACCTTATGGTAATTTAAACAAATTTATCATTAATATACTAATAAATGTTTTCATTTTATATGTGTATACACATGAGTGTGTGTGTGCGCATGCACATATTCACTCTTATTATGTCAAAAACACTAAACGAATGACATGGACAATGTAAATGATAGCATATTTTCAATGTAAAATGGCAAAAAATCCATACAAGTTGAGTAGTTTGAGCTGTATATACTGTCTATACGGTCTATCGTAAAACATTATATTAAAATATTAAATGTGTAGTTACTTGCATCTTCTACACACTGCAAAAACTAAAGTGTGGCGTTGGAATTCTACAACAATAACCCCTGCCGCCTTTAATCTGATTGGCCGTCTCCATAATATTGACATTGACAAGCACTGTAAGACTGAAATGTAAATTTGTACAACTGTTTTTGTCACCCTAACAACCAGAGTGGTGTGTAATGGAGTGCAGTATTAATAATATTTGTAATTATTAATACCTGCAGTCTAATGTAAACTCAGAACTCAGGGCGGCAGTGAACTGAGGTGCTCCTCTTGAAGGTTGGATGTCGTGTGCTATTCCTCATGCTTCCTGTAGCTTAAGCTCCAGTGACTGCATGTGGTGATGAGTGTCTGTTTTCCTCTCAGCTTTGATCAGAATGGGAGATCTGTTCTACAGCGAACAGGCTTTGGGCAGAAAACGGCTTTCTGATGCCGCAGAGATGTACAAGCAAGCAGCTCTCAAAAACGAACCACAGGTATCGGATAATGTCCAATCTTGAATGAGCAGGAAATGGTGTTATTTAATAATCGAAAAATCTGAAGTCATTATTTGGGGAAAAGATGAGCTCACTCACACACTTATTTATTTATTTATTTATTTATTTATTTATTTATTTATTTATTTATTTATTTATTTATTTATTTATTTTTGTTTGTTTGTTCTAACACAATTTTTTTTCCCCAAACTGCTTTATTTATTTATTTATTTATTTATTTAACCCTAATTATTTTTAATCTAACACACACACATATATGCACATATATATATATATATATATATTATTTATATTTATATTTATTTAATATATAAACAACCTTTATTTATCCTAACAGAATTATTAGTTTTATTCGAACAAGCTTTATTTATATAAGAAAAAAAAAATTTTTTTTATTCTTAACAAGTTATTTATATAATTTATATATATATATATATATACATACATGTCTCCCATCATAAATGTATGGCATTTTATTCTACCAAGCTATATTTGTTTGTTCTAAAAAAACTTTATTTACTCAAACGGAAATATTTATTTTATGTTTTTATGTATTAATTGTTTTGTTTAGGTTTTTAATATTGTTTTGCTATATTATTTTATTCAAAAAACTATTTGTTTTAAATTAACAGAAATATTTTGTTTATTCTAACAAGCTATATTGTTCTAACAGGCCAGAATTATTTTAGTTTTTATTAGTTTGTTTTAAGCTATATATGTTTGATTTAACAAGCTATATTTATTTAATTATTATAACAGATATACTGTATATATATATATATGAGATTAAATTATATATATATATATATAAATAAAAATGGCTATTTTTTTCTATCAAGCTATATTATTTAATTAAGTTTAGGATTTAGTTATTTTCAGTTTACTTAAAAAAAAAATGGTGGTGGTTTTTGTTTAGGGTTGTTTTCTTTTTGATATGGTAATATTTTAATTCACATTTGTCTCCTTAGGGTTGGTATAATCTTGGCCTGCTTGTCCAAAACGGAGAGTCTCTGCCGTTCAGTGTTCTTTCTGAGCTTAACTTGCTCCACCTTCACTTAACAGACCAACAGAAGCTACTGAGCACCCTGTACCAAAGGTAAGACAACATCTCAATCATCCTAACACATTCAGACTGCCATTTTACACTTCAGACGACTCCATTATACTGGTCTTTTATAATGGCGGTTTTCGATTTATGGGTCAAACAAATGGGTATCATCACGTTAGGTTTACCACAGGCTTTATTTTAGTCATAAATCAATAAACCCCATAGGAAAATCTCTAAGGAACCAGCGGCGAATTAGTCTTCCTGGTTCTGGCGTCACACCAGCTCATCCTACTCTATTACAGTATGTCTAATTTTCCATGGTTTTTTTTTTTTCTGTAGATGCAGAGAGACCAATAGCACCGATGCATACCTGCCATGCACACTGGCACTGATCAGCGCACACCTGCAATCCTTCCAAGCACATCAAGAGACTGCCATAAAGGTCTGTGTATATATTTATTTATTTTTATTTTTATTATTTTTTTGCCCTCATGTTGTTGCAAACCTGTATGAGGTTCTTTGTCCTGTGGAACACAAAAGAAGATATTTTGAAGAAGGCTGGTAACCCAGGCAGACAGTTGATGGATCATCCCACTCACTTCCATTTTGGAAAAACAAATATTCTTCAAAATATCATATTTTGTGTTTAACAGAAAAGAGAAACTCATACAGGTTTGCAACCACAATGTCTTGTTTAACTTGTTTAAAGGGGCACTTGGCAACTCTAGTCATCTCTTCGTTTGTTGTGGCATGTGTTCTCATCAGCGCCCCCTAGTTGTGTGGTGTATATTTTCACAACATTGTCATAAAAAAAACTCACTTGCGGCACCTTCCTCCCGCTTTCTACTAATGTGCGTTTGTTATTATCAGAGCCAGACAACTCTATCGTGTGGAGCTGTGTCTACCGAGTGCACTGTGCGTGTGTGTGTGGGTGCACTGTGTATAATTATTTGATATATATAAATACACACACATGCTTGTATATATTTAAGAAATATTTTCATGTATATAGATTTATTAGGGCCGTCAAACGATTAATCACGATTAATCGCATCCAAAATAAAAGTTTGTGTTTACATAATATATGTGGGTGCACTGTGTATAATTATATATATATATATATATATATATATATATATATTTAAGAAATATTTTCATGTATATAATATAGATTTATATATAATTTATATTATATATAAATATAAATATTTTATATATAAATAATATTTTTTCTTAAATATACATGCATGTGTGTATATATATATATATATATATATATATATATATATATATATATATATATATATATAAAATAATTATACACAGTGCACCCACATATATTATGTAAACACAAACTTTTATTTTGGATGCGATTAATCGTTTGACAGCCCGAGTTGAAATAGTTGCCCCTTTAAAGTACAAATGTTGACTGAATGTGTGCCTGGTCCTCTATCATGGATAATTTAGTGTAATTCTAACGCAAGTCAGTCAGTCAACAACAAAAAAGAAAAGAAAGAAATAGCCTAGATGAGCTCCTTGTTGTTTAATTTGTTTAATAGTGTATAATTGCATTATCACCTCACGGGGACGTTACAGTGTTAACATCATGATGATTCATTTCAGAATGATTCAGGGAATGATGTTTACTTTAGCGTCTGTGTTCCTGTAGCTCATTGCCACAGTTTCAGCAGTTTCAGCAATAGGAACCCTGTCTTTTGCATTCGGACTCTTTAAATGGAGGACAACACGACTCCACCAATCATCTGCTTCCAGCCAATCCCAGGGGGAGGAAGAGGAGGAATCCTGACGGGATTCTTCTATTATACTCAGTGGTTTTCCTCCACACAAAGCACTTTGCTTTACACTTTACTTTAAGCGTTTATATATAATTCATTAAACTTATTTTTACCCCTTTAGAAAGTAAAATGCATGAAAACCAATTTTTAGATGTAACAAGGAATCTGTAAACAAATCCATTTTAACTTTGGTTACAATTATTTATGAAAATATAAATTTTACAATGCATCATAAACGCTTCATAAAAGTTAAAGGGTTACCAATTTTTTAGTGGATATAATGTGAATAAGTTTTGTCTGACAAGTACTTTTTTTGAACTTCTCAATAAAGTCATTATTTTTAAGTTTAATTCCCATTGAACTTTTTGGCTTCTAGTTTCTGACACGTAATTTCATCTGACTGTAGCACTTTGGTGTCTCAAACTCTCAAGGCAAACTCCCTCTCGGAGGTACGGTGTCCCAGCGGGGGTCACTCTTGCCTGAGAGCGAGGACTCCCCAGGCTTCTGATGCAAACAGCAGGTGTGTAGCCAGCTCCCACGCCCACACACACACACACACACACCGACGCTCACGGTTAATTAAAAACAACACCAAAAGCTGTGATCCCCAGTGACGGGGAGTGTCAAGCGCTGAATCAACAGGGGACCCGAATCTCACTGCGCTCAATTGACAATAATATCATGCTTTCTGTGGGAAACCCTCATTGCGTGAAGCTTGGGTCTCGTCATAATGTATGCATTTCGTGGGCTAATTCACAGTATACGTAATGTGAAGATATTTTATTAAATGGGCTTTTATAAACTGCTCGGGGAATACGCTTGACTCTGCACACGATTCAATCAATGTAATAGCTAAAGAAACCCGTTTTAAAGCCCTCAATCATTGTGAAAAGTTGCCTGTGCGCTCTTTGTCCCTTGCTGGCTGTTATATATAATTGCTGAACTTCAGATGATGTTTTTGACTTTAAAAGGCACTAAAGAAGCAAGTAATATTTGGCACTTTCCACAAATGGGGTACAGTGCTTGCAACTCTTAAACGTAAGTGAAAGGAGGTGCTTATAGGCTTTCAAAAGTGTTCTAGGAATTCAAACAAAACATTAGCTTTTTTTTGGGTAACACTTTTTTTTACAATAAGTTAACTACTTTAGTTAACATGAACGAACTACGAATCTTTCTACAGGTTTTATTGATCTTAGTTAATGGTAATTTCACCATTTACTAATACATTATTCAAATCAAAAGTTGTATTTATTAATATTAGTTAATGTGTTGTGAACCAACATGAACAAACGATGAACAGCTGTAGTTTTTAGCTAACATTAACAAAGATTAACAAATAGGCTACAGTAACAAATGTATTGCTCATGGTTGGTTAATAATGTTAACTAGTATGTTAACTATAGTTAATGTTAACAAATGAGACCTTATTGTAAAGTGTTACTGCTTTTTTCATTCTAATATTGTTGCAGTTGCTTTTTTTTCACACTTGTTATATTTTCCTAAATTAAATAAATAAATGGTAACACATTACGCTAAGGTTTCATTAGTGAACTACACTACTGTAGTAAACCTGAACTAAGAAGGACCAATATTTCTGCAGTATTTCTTAATCTTAGTAAATATTCATTTCAACATTTAAAATTTGTTGTTGAAAAGTTGTATCTGGTAACATTTAGTTAATGCACCATGAACATCATAACTTGAACTGGTTAACATAATAAAGAATTGTACTTTTTTTTTTTTTTTTAAGGGATAGTTCAAATCTTTGATATGTTTTAGCTTACCTCAAGGGCATCCAAGATGTAGGTGTCTTTGTTTCCGCAGTATTTTCAATTTTGATATTTTTAGGTCAAACCGTTCTTGTCTGTCAGTCATATATTGGATGTCTATGGTCACCACCTCAAAGAGCATGTACAGAGAAGTCCAAATTAAACATAATCTAATGACTGTTAAATGTAAGTACACATTGATGACCTAAGACATGAAACGAGCGATTTGTGTGAGAAAACGAACATTATTTATATCACACAAAGCGACGTGGCTGTAGTTACAAGAGGTAAAAACAATATAAATACTGTTCGTTTTCTCACACAAACCACTCGTTTCGTGTCTTAGGCCATCAATGTGTACTTACATTCACGAGTCATTAAATCATGTTTAATTTGGACTACTCTGTGCATGCTCTTTGAGATGGTGACCATAGACCTCCATTATATGACTGACCGACAAAAACGGTTTGACCTAAAAATATTAAAATTGAAACTACTGCGGAAACTAAGACACCTACATCTTGGATGCCCTTGAGGTAAGCTAAAACATATCAAAAATTAATTTCAAAGTGAACTATCCCTTTAAGCTAACGTTCACTGTTAGTTCATGTTAGTTAATGCATTGATGTTTATGGATGGGACCTTATTGTGAAAAGGTAGCAACATTTTCCATCACTTTAAAAAAAAAAAAAAACAATTTAAGGCGATGGAAACAGACATTTATAATTGTAAGCAATATTGAGGATTTTCTTTGTTCTGAAGTATACTAAAGTTAAAAAGTTTGGGGTTTTAAAAGTTTGGGGTTGTATTAGTATTAAAAGTTTGGGGTTTTATTATTATATTCATTAAGGATGCATTAAATTGATCAAATAGTAAATTAATTGCAAAAGTTAAACTATGTTCATATCAAATAAATGTTCTTTTAAACTTTCTATTCATCAAAGTGTTGTTTCCACAAAAACATTAATTGTTTTCAACAGTGATAATCAGATATGTTTCTTGTGCTTTAAATCATCATATTAGAATGATTTCTGAAGGATCATGTGACACTAGAGACTAGAGCAATGATGATGATAAATTCAGCTTTGATAACAGGAACAGGAACTTTGTTACTGTTTTTACTGTATTTGATCAAATAAATGCAGCTTTGGTGAGTAGAAGAGACTTCTTTAAAAAACCTTAATTTGTATCTTTTTCATGGAAAGTGCTTTTTTGATTTTATTGATAACCCTAATATAACACATGATGTTATCCATCAACATGAAAATAGTAAGTGCTTTTATTTTGTGAAAATAAGTTTGGTTATTTTCATATAAGATTCCTATATTTCACACTCATTGTGAAAATGTCCATAAGAAAACAGAGCACTCAGCAAATGTATTTATCTATCATATGTTTGGCATCATCTAAACCTCATTAATCTTATTAAAAAAGATTTATCCGTCTAGGCGTTTTAATATCAGTTACGATGCAAATTACATATTCTGACTACAGTGTGTCAAATTTGATCAGTAATTCAAAGTGCTGTAGAAACTTCTTACTAGATATTTTGTCCGGGAACAGCAGTGCACTGAGACATCCCAGTGTTTGTTTGTCATACATCAGGAGTGCTAGCACTTTCTTCTCCCGGGACGGCCTCCTCCCCCTCCTCTGAGACGATCTCTCCTTTCTTCTCCTCCTCATCCTCTTCTTCTGTGTGCTGCATACTCATGTGCACACCTGTATTTTGACACCCCATGGCCTCATTGTTATCAAAGTCACGGAAATTGTTTCTCGCCCCCATGATGTATTTGCCCAGAATGTTGGCCTGGTCCGGCTGGCTTTTGCGTCGCCACTGCAGCTTCTGGTGGAAGTCCTTCATCTCGCTGTGCAGCCGGCCCACAACTTTATTCAGCTCGGTGATTCTGTTCCCCACATCTGAGCATCACAATAACAGGAATTAGTAGCAAAGACAATGGCAAGGGTCATAATAGCATTCTAAATACTTCCTGCATGAATAATATGCATGAAACTCCTGGATGATCAACTACAAAGTGTTTTTCCTCTACTCTTTCTTGCCTCATTTCATTAGACTGGAAGTTTTGAGATTTTTTTTTTTTTTTTTTTTACACAAAATTGAGATAAAAAATATGAAATAACCACTTATTTCCAAGATACATAGCATTGTTTTTTTTTTAAACAAATCTCCTATGCATGGCTGCATTTACTTGACCAAAAATAAGGGAAAATAGTCATTTTGTAAAATATTTTTATGAATTAAAATAAATAGTTTTTTTGCCACAGAGTAAAATTAATAAAGGAACCATCACACAATTCACTTTTTTTCTTTCAATTGCAAAAAAAAAAAAAAAAAAAATCCTGCCGTTCAGACTTTTATTCTCTGAATTGTAAGATATAAACCCTCAATTGCAAGGAACAAAAGTCAATGTTGCATTTTTTTCATAGTGGAAACAAGCTTCCATAATTTTAATATCGGCCTATATTTAAAATGTAATTAATAAATATAATTGAAAACAACAATTTTTCAGGGTTCTTTGAAGAATAGAATTTTCAAAAGAATCAGTTTATTAATATAAATATTTGAACTCAGCATCATTACAAATGTCTTTACTTTCACTGATTGTGTGTGAACTTTAGTGAATAAAAGCCTAAATTCGGTCTTTTCATCGGTCTTTTTCAAGAAAATTTTGCTGCAGTATAAAAAAAAGTTGCTGTCTTAACTTTTTAAGTAAACTCACCTTGATTAAGTCGTTTCAACTTAACTTACATTAAACTGACCTAAAAAAGTCATGTGTAACTTATTTTGATGTGTTAAAACGTACAATCAATAAGTTATGACAACAATGCTTTTTGTACACTCGTGTGATATTGCATATAGTTATACATGCATAAAAAAAAAAACCTAATTGAGGCTTGTTTTCCCCACATAACTCGAGTTTTGGAGGCATTTTTTTCACTAGCCCCCGTTAATTTCAGACCCTGGTGTGCGTCAATCAAAAGACTAATAGAGACTATTCCCCTTTCAAGAAAGCAAACGGTGTAAAATAAAAACACTTGTAGCCCACTTACACTTTATAGTTAAATTCTTTACTGAAGGTTTACTGATTTAAAATGTATTATTGTTCTTGATAAAACAAATGCGTTTGCCCCTACTTCCTGCGCCCTGTATCTAGTATGCACTACAGAGTGTTTACTGAACTATGAGACTCTATGCATTCCAAGGGTTGATCCAAATGATCAGAAGTAGCCTGACTGTCTTAAAACAAGTAAGTATTAAATAATCAGACACTTTTATCCATGTTGTATTCTAGTACACTTATTCCATTCTTTAATTACAGAGAGCGTTCCTCTGGAGAAACTTGTGAAGTCTCTCCACTTCTGGGGTTTGGACCCACAACCTTGAGGTTACTAGAACATATCTTTGACCACTAGGCCACAGCACCCTGAACAGGTAATTGTTAGGTAGTTTGAATGTATCACTTCCTGAAATACTGCATGCTTTTGGATTATTACCCAGAGATGCCGATGACCTACCTTTACGCTTGCTCTCTTCAAACTCTCTGCGTGCGGCTTCAATATAG